GGTGGCTCCGTGAGTACGATAGTTCCTTGTCGTGTCGACGCGGCGGCGTCCCCAGCCCAGGCGTTCGGCGCGGGCGCTCGAGATGGAAGGCCGCCAGCGGCCCAGAACCGGTCTGGCATATCCGCATTATCAGGAAGCTGCGGTGTCAGAAACCACGCGCACGTCGTCATGGCACCCTGCCGTGCGGAAACACATGTCATCGGACGGGGAGATATTTTCCCTGGATTCATTCTTGGGGGTTGTGTGGGCCTCCTGGGACCTGAAGCCTCAAGCGCTGCGTTATTCCGCGTCAGTGCCCAGCTGCCCGCGGCAAGGCCCGCCACCGTACCAGCTCAGCATTTCCGGTGGCCATTGTTCGACGGGGGTGCGAGAGGCCGTAACGTGTGATGCCTCGCGTCTCGAGGCTCGGGAAAGCCGTGACATGTGATGCACTCTTCCGCGTCGTGTCGGCAATGGTGATACTTGCGACGATAGTGGCGACGATGATCTAGCAGTACCTATGACGATGACGACGATCGTGCTGAATCTGGTTATGATGATGATGTTCTTGCTATTACTAATAGTACTACTACTTTTACTACATCGGCCCAATGAAAGTTCCTTGAATTTTCATCACGACGCTGGCCTGCGGAAGTCGACGGAAGTAAAACGAGGCGGAAGACGGGGGAAGGCCGCTGGAAGGCTTGCCAATGTCAGCGGAATTCAAGGACGCCCCTTCCGAACCCCCTACCCCCCGTAGAAACCTAGCAATGTTGTCTTCCTCCGTGGGCCGGGCGGGATCCCGCCTGGCGTATTCCGCTTTAATATTATAAGTTTAGTTCAGGACGATCAAAATCCCACCCATTAAAAATGGGGTAGACCAAAATCCCGGGTCGTTCACGGATCCCACCAAGCTGGGATCGGCTCGAAGTAAGATGGGGCTCATAAGTTGCAGTATTATTGCCGTGTTGGGGTCGTCTTGAGGTCATCTTGAGATCATATCCCGGTCATGTTTGGATCACGCAACCATCGCGTGGTCATTATGAGGCCACCCTGGGTGCGCTTGGACCCATCTTGTTGCCATCGGGCCATCTCGGCGTCACGCGTTGCTCATGTGTTGCGTCATCTGCGAGTCGGCCTGAGACGGTCCAGAATCCATGGCGGGATCGCGATGGGGTGGCATCATCCTGGGTCCTCTGGACGTCATCGTCCGTGGCCTGAGGCATTCCTGGAAGCATGTTGTGGCCATGGGGCGTCTTGGGGTCGCGTGCGTGCGAACGCTGAGCACGCGCGCGCGACTTTTCATCTTGCCGACGGGTTTACATACATATTATTCCTCTTGCGAGTTTCCAAGGAAACTTTTGTTGGAGCCAAGTACTACTACTACTACTACGACTACTACTACTATTACTACTACTACTACTACTACGACTACTACTACTACTACTACTACTACTACTAAAACTACTACGACCACCACTACCACTACTACGACTATGACTACGACTACGACTACGACTGTTACCACTACTACTACTACTACTACTGTTACTGCTACTACTACTACTACTACCACTACTTCTACTACTACTACTACTGTTACTACTACCGCTACTCGTACTACTACTGCTACTACTACCTTTTCTTATTGCCATTATTCGCATTACCATTAGTAATGCTGCTTTTACGAATAATTATTACAAATAACTACTACTACTACTACTAGTATTACTACTTGTACTAAACTACTACTACTACTACTACTACTACTACTACGACTACTACGACCTCTACGACTATTACAACAACTACTACTACGACGGTTACTGCTACTAGTACTTCTACTACAACTAGCACTACTACCACTTTACTACCCCTACTACTTCTACTTCTTCTTCTACGACTACGACTACTATTATTATTACTATTACTTCTGCTACCCCTACGACTACTTCTACCACCACCACCACCCTTACTACGACTACTACTACTACTACTACGACTATTGCTACAACTATTACTACGACTACTACTACTACTACTACTCCTACTACTACTACTACTACTACTACGACGACTACTACTACTACTACTACTACTACTACTGCTACGGCTACTACCACTACTACTACTAAACCTACTTTTTTGATTACGACTACTACTACTACTACTTCTTCTACTATTACTACTACTATTACTACTACTACTACCACTACTACTACTACTACTACTACTACTACTACTATTGCTACCACTACTACTACTACTACTACCACTACTACTACTACTACTACTACTACTACTACTATGATTACTACTACTACTACTACGACGACTACTATTACTACTACTACTACTACTACTACTACTGCTACTGCTACTACTATTACTATTACTACTACTACTACTACTAGTAGTAGTAGTACTACTATTACTATTACTACTACTACTACTACTACTACTACTAGTAGTAGTAGTAGTACTACTACTACTACTACTAGTACCTTTACTCGTATTTCTTCGTCTACAACTATCACCAACTGTATTTGTCATTACTACTGCTACTACTGCTACTGCTACTGCTACTGCTACTGCTACGGCTACTACCACTACTATTACTGCCACGGCTATTTCTGCTACCACGACGTCGACGTCGACTACTTCTACTACAACTACTACTCATAGTTCTGCTACCACGACTGTGACGACTACTAATCGTAGTACTCCTATGATTACGACTAGTACTACTCCCACTCTTTGCACGACTGCTACGATTACTACTACGATTACTACTACTACTGATGTTTATTATGACGATGGTGATGGTGACGATGATGCGGATGGTGGTGATGATGATGTTGATGATGCTGATGATGATGTTGCTGATGACTGTGAGTGGGCGATGATCAGGAGCAGGAGAGGCACACGGAGAGGAAGAAGAGGCTGAGGAGGAGGAGGAAGAGATGGATGTACGACCTCGCCGCGTTGAAGGGCACGGACACTGTCCACATATTCGGAGGTACATGTTAAGCCACACACCGTAACCGTCGTGGGACGCCAGGCGTTGCGACCACGTCCCGCAAACGACGGGCACGGTACTCACGGTAGCCAAGCATTGTTTCAAGCGTGCGGGCATTGCTTCGCCTGCCAGTCTTCACATATCATGCGCCACCATTGGGCTCATCATGTCACGCCGTCATGCGCTACTGGCAAAGAGGTGCAACGACCGACAGTTTCCAGGACTTGCTTCTTATGCTAAGCCTGCGAGGACCGAGTGGGACGAAGTGATCAATTCCAGAGGACGCTTGGTGCAGCCACGGCCTCCGCCTTTTGGTCATTTGCAAACTAGCACACGGGCGTACACGGGATTTGCCAGCATATCGTGCAGTTTACAAAGTCCACATGACCAGTTTTGTCCCAGGCTCTTGGCAAAGACAAGTATCAATGTTGTACTACCGCAACAGGATGATGATAAGCAGCAACCAGCCAGAGAAAGCAGAGCCACGCAGGACAACCACCAACAAACTGTTAGCTTCCAGTATCCATGGTCGCCCCCGTCCGGCCCGACGACGACTTGCCGACAACATATCATCTTCAGTGGGGTGCGATTGAAGGGAGGTGTTTCGCGGACATCGAGAGAGCGGATAACATGTGTTTTGACACGTTCAGGAATGCTGACAACAACGATCCTGGCCACCTCCAGCCACAGTTGCACGGACTTCTCCCCATCTGCCGTTGCGCCCAAGTTGGACCTCACCATGCTATTCGCGAGCGAGAAGCTATGTGACGACCTTGCCGTGGCGGCTCTCACAGAAACTGCTCGACATCTTTGTCCGTTACACACGAAGATGCAGCTACTACAGCAAAAGTTTGTTCTAAGCCAGCGGGGGTGAGGTTGCGGACGCGTTCAAGAACTATGGCGCGGCGGCGGGTATCAAGCATGACAGCATCATACTGCCCGGCTTGAGTGCCACGAAGCACCGCCACGCCCACACTAGACGCAAACACACAAGTTCACCGACTCGCTCTACAAGGACACCGTGGGCTGAGGCTGGCTACGCAAATGATGCTGTCGGCCCTGGACTTCGCCCAGACAGGGGAAACCTGCATCCGCATTTCAGTGCGATACCAAGATCGCCTACTACGAGATCGTACGCGACATTGTACTTCCTACCGGTATACACCAGGATGAATTGCGCGCCAATCTGGACACTTCCAGTATACTTCCGAGCCTTTGGGGGCTTCAAGGTATTTCTTAACAGTGACATAAAAGTTCAAGCGGTGAAGTATAACTACGCTGTTGACACCACGTAACGCAGGGTGAATGAACACTATGCAGGGTGAGCTACCCGTTGCGCAACATCCCATCAACGACAACAAGTGCCCGTGACATGTGGCATCCGTGCTAGTACGAGCGCGTGAACACATGGTTCACGCTGGAGGAATTGCCGGGCGTTGCCAGGGCTGGGTCGGGTCAAATGCCAGTCGCCCGATTGGGAGTCCCCATGTGCAGAGGGCACCACGCCAGACGCCAATCAGCATCCGCCAGCACCTCCTGGGCGAAGGCGCCCTTCTGACCCTGAACGAGTATGATGCGGCAGGCGCGCGTAGTGGTCCTAGAGCTTGGCAGCTAGATGCCCCCGAGAGTGCACGCGCTGATGAAGCAGGCGACTTCACGTCAGCCCCCAGACATTTCAGTGCGCGCCCAATGAGCTGCTCGAGGCGATCCACAGAGGGCTCCGATGGTGCTCCCTGGTGCCCACCTGCGACGTGGGAATTTCCAATTTGCTCGCTCCCTCTCAGGGTGCCCGCTCGAACGTGGCCGGCAACAGGGCATTGTTCAATGCCTGCGGGTCGCTGCGGCCTGCGGATCGCTCCGCCATGGCTTGTCTTGAAGTGCAAACACTTGGTGGTATCATTGACGCGGGCAACAATCGCGGGCAACCCGCGGAGCGCAGACAACTTCAGACATGCCAGGTGTGAGAACCAGTTGGGCGCTCTCTGTTCTTGCACCACGGCGCATGCGTGGCGCGGCTACGTTGTCCGCATACATGTGCGACGCTGTGATCTTGCGCGGGCGCAGCGCCGAGGATCGCGCACCGCTGCGCGGCGCAAGCGCTAGACTGCACAGGGGCCGCGCAGGCGCGCGCGCCCGCGAACCGCGCGAGACTCGCGTCGCCGACCGCGAGGTTCTGGGCAATGCCGACAAATCGGAGGTGTGCAGCTGCGCGCGCATCGGAAATATTGGCCATGACATCTACCTCCTTCTGCACCACGGCCCCGATGGGCTTCTCTGCGTGTTTGGCGCTTACTCAGAGCAGGCTGCAGTCCACGGCTAGAACTAGTTGGACAGGGATTCGAACTGCTGGAGCAGTGCCGGGATCCGACCTCCACGAGGCACTGCAGGGGGCTCGCTAGTTGGCTAGTTGGCTGCGATGGGCAAGAGGACCGGTCGCCGGCAGGGCAGCGCGCGCGCCTTTTGAGAGCGGCGGGGGGCCGCGCGAAGGAGAGCGCGAGACGTGCTGTTCGGAGGGGGGGGGCGTCCACGAAGGGCCCGATATGTTGGGGGCGCCCCCGCCGCCAGAGCGCGCGCTGCAGGCCGCGGGGGAGCTTCGCTGCCGGCGCTCCACCCCGCCCCGTGCCACGCCAAACTCGCCCTTGGGGGCTCGTGGGCTGTCCACGCGGCCAAAGTCCGCCCGCGGCTGCGCCGCGTCCGGCGGCGCGTCTGCGCGGGACTGCGCGCGGCGCGCGGTGGATGCCCCCGCGCGGGGCCGCGGCAAATCGCGCACTTTGCTCGACGCGCAAGGCGATGGGCAGACGCGTCCAGCGCCACTCGGCGCCGCTGCCGCAGCGCGCCGCCGACGACCTGGGCGTCGTGGACAGGGGGGCGGGGGGCAGTCCTGCGAGCGCAGCGATGCCAGCGGGCATTCGCGCGCGGCCTCGGCGCGATGACCAGGGCGGGGGGCGGAGAGCGCGCGACGGCCCCCGAGGGCCTCGGGAAATGAGGGGGCAGCGCGGCGCGCGCGCCGCATCAGTGCGCAACGGCCCCTTGGAAAGAGGACGCGCTACTTGCCACCCTCCTCTCTAGGCGGATCCGCCAGCGCGACCGGCGGCGGCGCGTTGGGGCGCGGCGATCATCAGCAATCGAAGTCGCCCCTCTGGACATTGCCCGCGATAGCGCGCGGGGCAACTCGTTCCGCCCTGCTGTTCAGAGATGCAGGGCGCATCCTGCGAGACGGCGTGTTCGTGGGCGCGCGCGCCAGGCCCCAGCGCGAACGATGGGCCGGGACGCGTTGGAACCAACTTGCGGGCTGCCGCGGCAGAGGGCCGCGCCCTCTGGCAGAGCGCGCTGAGCCGCGGCGCAATGAATCGCCCGCCGGACGAGGGCGGGGGCGCATGCGATTCGGCAGCGGCCTCCCACGCGTCGCGCTGGAGTTCACCATCGACGCCGCGCTCTCGGCAGTGCCCGCGCCCGCGGGGCAGTCCGCAACGGCCGGGCGGCGGGCCTGGCGAGCGTCTGGGCGGTGGCCAATTGCTGCGTGATCCCTGCGTGCCAGCAGGCGCGCGTTTACCATGTCGTTTGACTTACGCGTGCACGGCGCCAGCGCCATGGGTCCCAGGGCGTTTCCATGCGTGCGTCTGTCGGATGTTCGGCAATGGCTCGCGGGCGCTGGCGATCGCGGTTTTCGCCGCCGCCGCGGGGGGCGCCGCGGCGCGCTCGGCGGGGGCGGCGTCAACCGCGCCAGGGCGGCCTCGCTGGGGGCGTGCGCCCCCCCGACGCGCGCAGGTCCTCGACGCCCTGATCCGCGCGCGCGCGGGGTCTGCGCCTGCCCCCCCCCGGGGCGGGCAGGCGCGCGAGTCGCGGCCGGGGGCCGCCCCCGTAGCATCTGGCGCCACGCGCGCGCCGTGTTCTTCATCGACGCGGGCGCCGAAGGATTCTTCAAACTCTGCGGTCCCCCAGCGCCTTTGGGCGCGGGAAGCAGGGGTGCGGGTCGATATCTAGCCGGCCAAACGCAATGATTCCAGATTTCTGTAGTGCGCCATCGGCGACAGACGCGATGTCGGCGCTCGCGGCGAGGACGGGGCCATGGTGCAATGAGATCGAGCACGCGGGGCGCATCGCCGCCCTCGTCGATTTGGAGGCGCGGAACCGCGCCCCCCCGCGGAAGCCCGCGGCGGCGGGCGCCATGGGAAGGGGCGCTACGCGAAGGCGCTCTTCCCCATCAACTTCGCCGTCTGAGACATCGAAGGGGGGCGCCTAGACTGGGCCAGTTCGCGGCGCGACGGCCGCGCGGTCGACGAGCCGCTCTCGCGCGCCAGCAGGGGGGCGCTGCCGCGTTGGCGTCGCGCTCAGGAGCAGCGGCCTCTACAAGGTGGAGGAGCGCGGCAACGCCCACACGGCGATGCTTACGTCCATGATCATGCCCCCCCCCCCCCCTCCGCAAAAAATGACACAGGGCGCTGCGGAGTACGAGCCAGCAACTTGGAGGCTCAGCGTGGACTTGTCGCATGACGACCAAGCGACCTCGTCTACCTCATTCGCGCGAGATACTATTCCATGCCCTAAGCGGCCTCTCTCCCCATACTTTTCCATAGGTTCAGAACTATCAACATTGCAACGCATCCCCCCCTTCCCTTGCCCTCGGGCGGTGGTGGAATACCGCGGCATCGGCTGTCGGCCGCGCGCGCGGGCGTCGTGCTGGATCCGCGGGTGGAAGCGAGGGGCGCGCCAGCGTTGCCGAGAGAGAAAGAGAAATAATGATAATTGAGACGGAAGAAGCGGATGATGATATACTGGTAATAGTGAGGAGGAGTGTAAAGGCCGTCCCATGTGACGTGGGGTTTCTCGGGTGTTTCCTGGGGGCTCGTTGGGTGCTTCCTGGGTGCCCCTGGAGGGCCTCTTAGGGGTGTTTCGGCGGCGGTTTGGGGGCGCCGAGGATGCTGTTGGGGGCTCCTTGGGCCGGTTGGGGGATCTCTTGTGCCGCCTGGCGCTTTCGGAGCTCGTCCTGCGGCCCTGTCTGTGCCTTCTTGGGGTCGTCGTGTTTTTGAGCCGTCTTGGGGGCCCTCGGGCCTTCTTGGGACCATTGTGAAACCCTCTTGGGCCAAGTTGAGGCCGTGTTCGTGGCTTCTTCGACTATCTTGAGGCTGTCCTTGGCCCTGATTAGGCCATCCTGGAGTTGAACGGAAACCCGAAAAAGGTGAGGACGCGAACGCCCATCAAACACTTGAGGGAATACCGCATGATTATGTATGCTTGTTGTGGTCTTTCTGGAAGTTCTCTTGTAGCCCTGTTGCACTGTCTTGAAAGCCTTTTCAGACCGCCTTGACGCCGTCGTGGGGCCATATTGGGCCATCGTGGAGAGGTCTTGGGCCATCTTCGCAGCCTTGTTGGCCTGTCTCCACCGTGCTGGAAACCATCTTGAACGCTTTGGGTCACGCCAGGGGTGCGTCTGGCCGCCCAGGAATGCTCGGGACAAGGGGCGGGATGCGCGCAGGGAAGCGCTGGTAGAAGGGCGAAGCTCTTCATAATAGCACGGGAGCGCTACCAGACTGCACTTGGCATGCTGCCGCGCCTCAACGTGCCATAGGGCACGGTGGCGATGGCGCGTTCCACCCCTGTGCCTCGCCTTCGGTGCGTTTCCGCCTTTGGCGGAAGCCTGCGGGTCCGCCAGCGGAAGCTGGCGGAAAACGGCGGAAGGAACAGCGAGACGCCAGCATTTTGGGGTCTGGGTTTCTGCAGTCGGCCAAGCATCTAACCAGAGCCCCGAATCATCAGAGGTATCTCGGGTCAGGGCTAACTCGAGTCCGTTTTTCGGGAATCCAAGCCCGAGTTATTCCGGGCCCGACTTACCCCGGATAACTCGGGCACCCAATCTAACCTAGACTTCGGATGCAGCCATGTTTGGCGGCGCCTTTCCGCTGGGAGCCAGCTTTTCGTCCCGGATGGTTTTTCTGACAGTCTGGGGTCCCGGCAGCGGTCCCCAGAGGCCGCGCACTGTCACGAAAATCAGGAAAAACAGACACAGACACATAATCAACGACGATTTCCAGGGACATCTTTGAGAGCATGGGAAGTGGAGGGGAAGCCCCGAATCCAGAAAATCTGGGAAATATAAAGAATCCTGGAATCTGTCCTTATTTATGTTTGTCCTTCTGGGCCCCTTCCAAAAAACTGGCACTCATTTTTTCCATGACGTCGGAGGTTTGGGCCCCGTCTTCCAAAATTTGCCCCCTCACCTAGCCCTGGGGTGCGTCCTGGCCAGGGTGCTGAAGGGGGATCCAGTCACGTTGGCGAGAGGGCACCCCGCAGGGCGAGCAGCCCCCCCGATGCGCCATCCCAGATCCAAGGCCCCCGGCGTCATGAGTTGTTCCGCGCCTGGACCTCCAGAGCCCCTCCCCCGGGGCCGGCTCCCCGTCCTGAGCCGCCCGCCCGGAGGTCCCGTCAGGGCCCCCGCAGCCCGCCCATCACGCGGCATCTCCTGTGGACCTTTTGCTTTGCTCCCCGCCGCGAGGGGGGCCCGCTGGAGTCTGCAGTCGCCCGCGCGCGCGCGGCCCCGCGGCGCGGCCGCTCTGGCCCCGAGGCCGCGCCGCCGCAGCTGTGGCGCCCGCCCCCCGAATTCAGCTCTGGGCCTCCCCGAACGGGGCCCGAGCAGCCGGGGGCTTCGGAGGCTCGCGCCGCGTCACCGGCGCGTCGGCGACGCGGCCCGGTGCGGAGCCCGACTTCCTCCACGCCGACGGCGCCGATGCGTCGGCGATGTGCGGCGCGAGCCTCCGACCCCCATCTCAGCGGGGCCCCAGCGGGGAGGCCTGTACTCGGGCCTCGGGGGCGCGCCGCCCTGGGTCAGCGCAGACACGGTGTCGGCCAGGGTCGCGAACGAAGACGACCGCCTAGAACTGCTCGCGTCGTCGTCGTCGTCGTCGTCGTCGTCGTCGTCGTCGTCGTCGTCGTCGTCGTAGTACTGGTAGTAGTAGTCGTCGTAGTACTGGTAGTAGTAGTCGTCGTAGTAGGGCAGAATCACGACGGGAGGTTTTTGGCATTTTGGGCCTCCAGGGGCCCTCGTTGGGCGACAGGACCTTCAGCAAGACAATTCCGACGAAGGTCCAGCTCTGGGGAAAGGGTCGGGATTGGGAACGTAATCAAGACGTCGCATGTCTGAGGAGGAGGAGGAGGAGGAGGAGGAGGAGGAGGAGGAGGAGGAGGAGAGTGAAGGCAAGCGCGTTTCGCGCGGCGCGGCCTGGGCCGGACAGCCGCCCTTGTCCATGCACCGTGCCACGTCTTGACCTCCTCCGTGCCCCGCCCCGGCGCGGGTACGGCGCATGGTTGTTCGGCTCCCCGGGCCGAACGATACGTGCGCCGCACCGCTCGTGGGTCGAGGATCGGCGACGCCTCGAGCGGCGCCAACGCGGTACGGACTGGAGATCTCCAGGGGGCCTCGCGAGGGCGCAAGGGTAGCCGCGCATCGAGGGGCGCGGCGCGCGAAGAGCCAGGTGGCATCAGGTCGGCCAGGGGCGCGAGCGTGGGGCCAGGCACGCAGCAGCGCCCAAGCCCAGGGTCAGCCGACCTTCTGACCTGGGCGGTTCGATTTCAAATCATGGGAGCCTGGTAAACCCTCTTAATTCCGTCTTCAGCGTCGGCTAGCGCCGATCAGCCTCTGGGAGTGGATGAGATAGCGCCGACCTAGCATCGGCTTGCGTCGATTGGCTCCGATGTAGCGTCGATCAGCTTCGGTTTGGCGTCGACCAGCGTCGCTTCGCAGGAGCCGACAAGACAGTATATGGGAGGCTCCCATGAGTTGCCACCGAAAGCGGACCTTCTGACCTGGGCGGTACCATTTTTGTATGCCTTTACCAGCCTGGAACATATCCCTATCCCTATGCTGGGCACCTCCTAGTCACGATGCCAATCTTAGGGATTCCCTTCTTTTTTGGAGGGCGCATCCCTGAGACCGTCATCGCCTCTTGGCGTGCCAATCTTAGGGATAGGGACACGCTCGAGGCTGAGTAGGGGAGGCTCCCAATGAGTTGCCACCGAAAGCGGACCTCCTGACCTGGGCGGTACCATTTTTGTATGCCTTTACCAGCCCGGAACGTATCCCTATCCCTATGCTGGGCACCTCCTAGTCACGATGCCAATCTTGGGGATTCCCTTATATTTTTTGAGGGCGCATCCCTGAGACTGTCATATCGCCTTTTGGCGTGTCAATCTTGGGGATGGGGATACGTTCGAGGCTGAGCATGGGAGGCTCCCAATGAGTTGCCACCGAGAGCGGACCTTCCGACCCGGGCGGTACCATTTCTGCACGCCCGGGCCGTCCTCGCCCAGTCTCGGGCCGTGGGGTCTTCGCGGATCGACCCGGCTCGAGGTGTGCCATACCTTACCAGCCTCGAACGTATCCCTATCCCTGAGATTGACGCGCCAAAAAGCGATGACAGTCTTAGGGATGCGCCCTCAAAAATAAGGGAATCCCTAAGATTGGCATCGTGATGAGGAGGTGCCCAGCATAGGGATAGGGATACCTTCCGGGCTGGTAATCCACAATGTGGGCGCGAACAGGCAAATGTCCTACCCGTGTTGGCTCGGCACGTGTTGGCCCGCGCTTCGGCGAGAGTGTCGTGCCAGGCCTGCGTCGTCCGTCCACGTGTGGAGCCCCGCGTCAACGCGCTGCTGAGGTAACGCATCGCAGTGCGACCCTACCTAGAAGTTGAATCCCCTAGGAAAGCAGCATTAGTAGCAACAGTAAAGATACGCTAAAGCTGAGCGAATGCTAAAGCTAAGCTAACGCTAAGCTTTAGCTCAGCTAAAGCTCAGCTAAAGCTAAGCTAAAGCTAAGCTAAAGCTCAGCTAAAGCTAAGCTAAAGCTAAGCTAAAGCTAAGCTAAAGCTAAGCTACAGTTAAGCTAAAGCTAAGCTAACGCTAAGCTAAAGCTAAGCTAAAGCTAAACTAAAGCTAAGCTAAAGCTCAGCTAAAGCTAAGCTGCAGGTGAGCTGCAGGTAAGCTAAAGCTAAGCTAAAGCTAAGCTAAAGCTCAGCTAAAGCTAAGCTAAAGCTAAGCTAAAGCTAAGCTAACGCTAAGCTAAAGCTACGATAAAGCGAAGCTAAAGCTAAGCTAAAGCTAAAGCTAAGCTACAGCTAAAGCTAAGCTAAAGCGAAGCTAAAGCTAAGCTAAAGCTAAGCAACAGCTAAGCTGAAGCTAAGCTGAAGCTAAGCTAAAGCTAAGCTAAAGCTCAGCGAAAGCTAAGCGAATGCTAAACTAACGCTAAAGCTAAGCTAAAGCTAAGCTAAGCTAAAGCTAAGCTAAGCTAAGCTAAGATGAGATAAGCTAAGCTAAGCTAAGCTAAAGCTAAGCTAAGCTAAGATAAGATAAGATAAGCAACGCTAAGCTAAGGGGACGTACCTGGGGGAACCGCGGGGCGGGGACTGGGGAAACCGCCCGGGGCGATTTACACTGCCCGCCCCTTTAAGCTAAGAGAGTAAGAACCCTCTAGGCAGAGCCTAGGTAGGGAATAAGGGAATCCCTAAGATTGGTATCGTGATGAGGAGGTGCCCAGCATAGGGATAGAGATACGTTCCGGGCTGGTAATCCACAATGTGGGCGCGAACAGGCAAATGTCCTACCCGTGTTGGCTCGGCACGTGTTGGCCCGCGCTTCGGCGAGAGTGTCGTGCCAGGCCTGCGTCGTCCGTCCACGTGTGGAGCCCCGCGTCAACGCGCTGCTGAGGTAACGCATCGCATCTTTTGGTCGTCCGCCACTGCAGATGGTAGCTCTAGCGCAGGGTTGTTGGTGGCAGCCGGTAGTCCCTAAGAAGCGTGAGATAAGATGTCACGCACTCTGATGGCACCTGACGGTCGTAAAGTGCCTGCCATGGGGCGTCACACACGCTCTCTGACAAGCGCTAGTCGTACAGAACGCGTGACGCTCCGCCTCGGCGAAGCGCTCCTCCTGGCTGCCAGCTGCCCCCCACAACGACCGCGCGAGGTGCGCTGGCACACGTTTTTGAAGACCCCCGTCGGCGCGGGCCCCCGGGTGGCGCGGGCCCCGAGGGAAGTCGCGCGCGCGCGCGCCCAGTGCGCGAGGCGAGGGCAGCGCGCTCGCGCGCCCGCGCGCGGCCCCCCCGCGGGCGGGCGCGCCCGCTCGCCGGCGGCCGTCTGGCGGTGGCTGGCTGGCCTCCCGCGGGGCCCTGGGCGCCGAGGCCGGGATGCGTCCCCCGACGCGCTCGCCACGGGTCGCCAGTCCTGGGGTAAGGGGCGGCCTCGAGGGCGCGAAGTTCTTCGAGTTATTCGCGCCTCGCGGTTCGGCTCCGATGCCTCCTCGTCCTCCTCTTCTCCCCCCGGGAGGCGGCGCGGGAGCGCGAGGTTATTCGCACTTCGCGCTCCGCGCAGCGCGGAGCGCGAGGTTGGGAGCCCTTGTGGGGGCCCTGCGTGTCGTCGCAATTCTGTCTGCAGAGTGCGCCGGCGCGCGCTGGCGTCTGTTGATCTCGATGAGAAAGCGCCGATGTGGCGTCGATGGGCGTCGATGAGCGTCGATCTAGCGTCGATCAGCCTTGGTCAGCGCCGGCTGGCGTCGATTCGCAGGAGGCAGCAAGATGGCATGGGAGTTGCCACCGAGCTCGCGCCGTGACAGAAAATCGCGACGGGCGGCTTTTGACCATTTTACGGGGCGTGAAAACGACCACAGCCACTGCTTTTCTTTTGCTGCCGCCTTCCAGCCCGCAGAAG